GACTGAGAGAAGACCAAATAGCTAAGCTAGAAGTCATCAAAAACAATGCTCTCAGGACCATGCTCGGAGCACCCATGTGGACCAGAATTTGCAATCTGCAAATGGAAACCGAACTACCACCCCTGGCAGTACGAGTCAAGCAGGTGACAGCCGGTCTCCTCGCCAAAATCTGTAGAGCAGACAAGCCCACAGTTGCCAAGATTCGAATCAGTGCCTCCCTCCACCTCGACCACAGAGTGCGAGGGGCCACCTGGTCGCACGAGGCAAGCGAGGTCATCCGACACCTGCAAGCAGAAACACTCGTCAAGAACAACCAAGACACACGAAACAATGGTTACGCTGTTCCTCCACCATGGAGCCCTCCACCAGCCACACTCAAATTCACGGACCTAGGCGATAGTAAAGCCAACCTCCAGAAGGAGGACCTCAAAAAAATAACTCTCGAAGCCATAGCCACCGAGACACCGGCTGATGCAGCATCATACTTCACAGACGGCTCGGTGGACCCAAAACATCATAGATCCGGAGCGGCCTTCTACACCCAAGGTCAGACCCTCCAATGGAGACTTTCCAATGACTGCTCCACCCTACAAACAGAACTGGTAGCAATCTCAAAGGCCCTACAACACGCTGCAATACAACACAACAAGTCCATCATAATTCACACGGACTCGAAATCGGCCATGCAGGCGCTGCAACACAGTCAACCAAGAGACAACGTCCACATCATCACCTCGATCCTCGCACAGCTACAGGAATTCCAAAGCCAAAACCGACCAGTCGTCTTACACTGGATTCCCAGTCATGTAGGGATCGGAGGAAACGACGTGGCAGACGAAGCAGCCAAGGCAGCTACACGTTCTAGTAGCGTACACATCCAAGTTCCAGCAAGCGTGCAACAGATCAAGAATCACCTCAGAAAGAGTCATGTAGGGATCAGGAAACTGTTTGTGTGAACAAACAGCCAAGGCAGCTACACGTTCTAGTAGCGTACACATCCAAGTTCCAGCAAGCGTGCAACAGATCAAGAATCACCTCAAAAAGACTAGCAAGCTCCACATCAAAAAGAGCTTCCTTCATGCACTCAACGCTGGTTCCCAATCAGCCAAATGGTACCTGGCGGCCACAAAAGGGGAACCACCTTTCGCTGACAAGAAAACTCCAAGACAAACCCAAGTCAGCCTTTATCGACTACGACTAGGGTACAAGTGCTCCTGGCAGATGATCGGAAATGACGTCATGGATTGCACCTACTGTCAGGAGCCAGCAGCCAACCCACTTGAACACTATCTCCTCGACTGCGAGGTCACACAAAGCCTCCGAAACAGAACTCAAATCTCCAAAACACACCCTGTACTCTAACTTGAGGCCACAGACCACATTCACCACCTACTCCGGGTCATCACACGATACCCACCACCCAGATAGCTTAGAAAGCATCCTCTCCCAGGAAGTGCGGACCCCAGTTCGGGGGGCGCGCCACTCCGAAACTGACCACGTCCAAGAGTCGGGGTTGGTGGTAAGCGTCCACTGATCGGGGGTCTGCTCACACTTGCAACCTGCAGTATCCTTCCAATCTGCAGGTGGGACCACCTCTAATCCCAATCCGGTCTGGCTGCTCCTGGAGCTCCAGCCGGAACCACCAAACGGGCCGCCTACAGGCAAAGGCCCGTGTCGGACTACGGTCCGACAATCTCAACAACAACAACAGCAGTGCTAAGGAGTTACTAGGTGATGAGTGGTTTGCTCAGAGGTCCTGTTGGGCGAGAAGCTTTCTGGGAGAGCCGATTGGTGAGGCGCTGTAGAGAGATGTTGCGGGTCCAGTCGGTCAGAGTAGAATGACCTCCCCGATGATGAAGATAATGGAGATAATATGGCAATGGTTTGCCATGGGAAGGGATAGAAGAGGTAAGGGAGAAGGAAAGTTATGAAACGGGAAGTAAAGTAGTAGAGAATAAGAGCAGGTGGGCTATCCACCTAGCAGAGACGATTTGATTGGTTGTGGTGAAGGCCGCACTAAGAGGTCATGAAGCTCGAGGCTAGGGGGTTGCTAAGCTAGCTAGCAAGGGGCTGTTTGTTATTGTGTTAGTTGGAGAGGTCTGCTAGGTCCTTGTGTAACTAGTAGAATACTCTCATCTTTTATCTTTAATATTATTGTCGAAAATAATGTGTGACTGGCGTCAAGAAGTTATTTATGCTGTGGTGTATAATTGTGTTAGTTGGAGAGGTCTGCTAGGTCCTTGTGTAACTAGTAGAATACTCTCATCCTTTGTTTACTGTTTAGTGTACAATAGTTCTGGCTCTTGAGGGTTATAGAGAAGGCTTTTTGGCCACCAGTTGTGTGATCTTCTGGTGTCCTCTGTTTTTAGTCGGTTATATATTTCGTCTTCCATGACTTCTAGTTTGTACCATACTGCCTGTGCTTGGTTGTATGTTCTTATGTTCAGTGATAAAATGTTGTATTTTTCGTGAAGTTCTTTAATTTTGGTTGTGTATGGGGGACGTTGTTTGGAGGCTCTGCGGATGGCTTTGTTTTATGTTGCCTGGAGTTTTAATTGGTTGGTAAGGCTGATCGTGTTTAATGGTATTGGCGGGTATTCAAGATGGGGCGGACAAGTGCTTTAAAAAGATGTAGTTGTATTTTCTCTTCCATTTTGCCGAATCTTCTTAATTTGGTAAGCTGTATTTGGGCTAGTCTATTGCGCTCTGTTATGTGTTTCTTTATTCCGGTTCTTGTTATTGTCAGCCCCAGTATTTTTCCTTCGTTTGAGTATTGTATTTCTTCGTTGTTTACTGTGATTGGTGCTGAGTTTATCCTTGAAATGTGTATGATCTTTAGTTTCTGTGTATTAGTTTTTATTTTCCATTACTTCTCGTAATTATTGATTTGTATTATGGCGCGAGCTGTTTTTAATGGCATCATCTGTTTGGCCTTGCCTGGATGGCGAATGATCAGGGTGACATCATCAGCATATGCAATGTATTCACCGTGAATTGGTGGCGGCATGTCTGAAGTGTAGATTGTGTAAAGAGTTGGGGATAGGTTACTTGCTTGTGGTACTCCACTAAAGAGTCTGAAGCTTGGGCCTTTGTGATTGTCTATTATAATGTGTGCTTCTCTATTGTCTAAGAAATTACACAGTAGAGAGGTGAAGTTGTTAGGGAGTTCTTGATTGGTTATTTTATATTTAAGTCCCAAGTGCCAGGCCTTACCGAACGCTTTTGCCACGTCCCTTAAAACTATATTGCACTGTTCTCTATTATGCATTGCGTTTGCTATACTTTCGTATATAAGGGCCATGGCTGTGTTTTTTCCTCTGTGTTTCCTAAATCCGTGTTGTCTAGGGTTGTATTTGTATTCCAGTTCCAGGTGTGTTCTTAATCGGTGGTTAATTATTTTTTCCAAACTTTTTCACGGAGTTTCTAATAGAGAGATTGGTCTGTAGTTTTCTACTGCTGTGGGGGCTTTTCCTGGTTTTGGTATCAGTCTGATAATTGCTGTCTTAAATTTCTTTGGGTAGTGGTCTGAAGCTATGGATGCATTGAATATATTTCTTTGTGGAAGTACCATGTTGTTAGGCAATTGCTGTATAATGGGTTTATTTATTTTACTGACTCCAGGAGCCTTGTTCTTAAAACTGTTGATTGTTCTTACTATTTCGTCCACCGTGATTGGTTTGATTAGTTTGTCATCCAGGTTATTTGCGACATGTGGTTGGATACTTCCCTCTCTGTGGTCATGCAAAAGTTTAAGTTTTCTTCGTTGGTTATTTGAAAAATCTTACTCCAGAAAGATCTAAATTCCGGTTCTTGTTCGGTTGGATCTGTTAATTTGACTTGATTACTATTTACTATATAGTTAGACTCGTTGCTGGAGGTTCCCATTAAGTGCTTTATTTTCTGCCAGAACTGTTTCGGTTTATGGCAGTTTCCTTCCGTTTCTGAAATCAGCTTCTGCCAGTTCCTGTTGTATGCTTCTTTTGAGATGTTTATTAACTGTTCGTGTAACATGTTGTATATCCTTCTGCGTTCTGGTGTCCATCCTTGCTGTGTGATTAGTTTAATTAGGTTGCTAAATTGTGTCTGTATGATTCTTGATTGGTGTGAGTATTGAGGGTGTGGTAATGCTCGGTGAGTGGTCTTGGGCATGTTGTGTTCCATGGCCTGGCTAACGTGCTCGTACCATGTGTCCAGTGATCGGTCTATTAGAGAAGTATGCCTGTTGTGTAATTGTATGGGTTGCGGGTTATTTAAGTCTTGTTTGAAGTTTTCCCAGTTAGCCCGGTTATAGTTGAATCTTAGCCTGGCCGGATCTGTGTTGGGGCTGTGGAGAGTGTGGCTATGATAGGGAGATGATCACCCCTAACACTGTGTGCGTGGGGTTCGGTCCGGTGTGCCGTTTGTGGCGTGTTCAGGACCCGGCCTACTGCGTTGTTGGTATGGTGTCCTAGTATGCGGTGTCTAGCGTTGAGATCACCGATCGATCGATCGATGGGTGAAGTAAGTATGAAGAGATCTTGATGCTGGTGCGTAGATTGGTGGTGCGGGAACTGGACTTGAAGAATGATGGTGGAATTTGGAGGGACTTGGGGTTTTTGGATAGTGCAAGAAGAAAAGCGATGAAATTGGAAAATAGTAGTAGAATGCTAGGTCTTGGGGCTCAACCCACGTGCTTCTGTTTTCTCGTGTTTGTGTTTCAGCTAATTTTCGTCTTAGGTGTTATATTTCTGTCAGGTGTTTGTATGTTTAGCAACTATTGCAATTTTATGCCTTACTGTACATTTTCGGGTCTTGTGTCCTAGCCTATGGTGGGGAGTCTAGGGCAGGTACTTGTGTTTCTGCTGAGAACATCCCGTCTTTTTATGATCTAATGTTGTACAGTAAGTGGTAGGGCTGCCAAGGTTGTCACTGGGGTAACGTTGCAGCAAGTGAATAAATTCAACATTTTTATAAGTACATAATTATTATCTTGGGCTTAAGAATTAAAGAAAAGAACTCCATATTTTTTTATATTTATGGTATCTGATGACGTGTCTTTATCTCAACTGATGACTTCTGTCTTTATGGCAACTGATGACGTTTTTATGGTCAACTGATGATATCTGTGGCAACTGATGGCGCTATCTATGGCAACTGATGGCGCTATCTATGGCAACTGTTGACGTGTTTATGGCAACTGCTGACGTCTCTATGGCACAAGATGAGGGGCTGACGTCTGGTATCTTGACCATCTTAGCTAGAAAAAAATAAATATAATTTTAGGTCATTTTATAAATAGAATCCTTATTTAAAGCTAACTTAAAGTTAACTGTAATGACAAGGAAAGGAGGCGGAGTAGCATTCTATGTCAAGGATAATCTGAAGTGTGAAATAAATAAGGAACCTATATCTTGTGCTTGTGAGACCTCACTTGGATTACGCAGTTCAATTCTGGTCACCGTATTACAGAATGGATATAGAATCCTTGGAAAGAATTCAGAGGAGAATGACAACACTAATCCCGGGCATTAGGAACCTTGAGTACAGAGACAGCTTAAAGCATCTTAATTTGCACTCCCTCGAGAGACGTAGAGTCAGGGGCGATATGATAGAAGTGTAAAAAGTCAGGGCTGAACAAAGGGGACATTACAAAAGTTCTCAAACCATCCAACCAGGAGCGAACTTGTAACAATGGTTTCAAATTAGACAAATTTAGATTTAGGCTTGTAATAGGCAAACATTGGTTTGGAAATAGAGTAGTGGACGAGTGGAACAAGTTATCAAATATCATCATTAACTGGAATACGCTGGATAGCTTCAAACATAGGTTGGATGGATATATGAGCAATATAGGGGTTGGGTGTAAATGGGACTGTCCAGTATGGGCCAATAGGCCCACTGCAATTTCCTCCATTCTTATGTTCTTATGTTCTTATAATAACAACAACAATAACAGCAACAATAACCACATAAATAACAACAATAACAACAGCAATGACAATAACAAAAACATGAACACTAAACTACTAACTATATGATTATGTCTTCCAAGATGACCTGTACCCTGACATGACCTTGAACTGACCTTTGTACCCTGACATGACCATGAACTGACCTTTGTGCCCTGACATGACCAAGAACTGACCTTTGTGCTCTGACATGACCAAGAACTGACCTTTGTGCTCTGGCTGCCAATTGAGCTGCCTTGATCTTGAGTAATTCCCATTCACGTACACTCTTGCCCATATAGTGCCAGATGAACACTGACACTTCCCTGTTCATATTGATCTGTTGGAAAGTACAATAGGTATTTAGTGCCTGTCTGTCTGTCTCTCTCTCTCTCTCTCTCTCTCTCTCTCTCTCTCTCTCTCTCTCTCTCTCTCTCTGTCTCTCTTTAAGTTTGGGTATTTTTTCACTCACCTGATAAGCTTGGCAGTGGTTATCACAGCTGTGTGTATCGTGAACTTGGGTGCAGACATCATTAATATTAGTCACTTGATCAGTCACCTGTTGCGACAAAATAAATTGAATAAATTATCTTTATAAATCACCCCTTAAAACACTCATTAAGTGACCGTTTTCTCTGGATGTGTCATAATTGTGAAAGGAGATAATTGTACTGTTAATAATCCAATAATCGTACTGTTAAATAATCCAATAATCGTACTGTTAAATAATCCAATAACCGCACTGTTAAATCATTCAATAATCGTACTGTTAAATTATCCAATAACCGCACTGTTAAATAATCCAATAATCGTACTGTTAAATAATCCAATAATCGTACTGTTAAATAATCCTTATTTTAAGTACAGAAGTAGGGTGATAACTATACTCACCGTCCAAGTGTCATAGTATCTGCCTTCATCATACTCACACAGCATCTATAGAAAGGTTGGAGCATTATTAACTGGTACTATTAGTTAACTTAAGTGGTTATATTAGTTAACTTGTATTTTAAGCAGTTTGTTGTGTATAAAGTGATTCAATAATGACTTATTTTAAGTTTGGGTTCGATAAGTTAATTTTAGGTTAGGTTAAGTTAGGTTAGTTAAAATGATGCTAGGTTAGGTTAAGTATAGGTTAAGTTAAGTTATAACATAAGAACATAAGAAAATAAGGAGTCTGCAATAGGCTGGTTGGACTGTGCATGGCAGCTCCTGTCGAGAGTTACTACCACTCCATGAATCTATCTAGCCTCCTTTTAAAACTTTCCAGGTTAGGCTAAGTTGAATTAGCTTAAATTATGCTAGGTTAGGTTAAGATTAGATTAAATTATGTTAGATTGAGTTAGGTAAAGCTTGGAGGCAGTTAACATATTGTTGAACTTAAATTTAACATTGAAGGACATTTCTAAAATGTTAAAACACCATAAAACACCATGTAGTGATTGTTTATCAGACCACAAATTACAGCCCAGAGAAGAACAGGACATATAGCAGTGACCGGAAGCGCAGGTGTGTACACCCTCGTAAGTTGACCCACCCTTAGTGATGAAAGTGAGATTAAGACCTGACCCAAGTCACGGTCACTTTGAACCAGAGTTCTCACTGCCGGGTCGTTAGCTTAACCGGCGACATGACAGTGTTACTCAAAAACCTACCCTCCAGCGGGTACACCTGTTACACCACCTTTGTAACAAGTGGAAACTCCTATAGAAGATATAGGAAGAATTTATAGTGTTATGAACCCCTCCACCCAGCACTACGAACCACGCCATCTATTTTCTTGATCTACCTACCCAGCACCACGAGCAACGCCATCTAGGGACGAGACAGGAGTATGACTCGTCTTAGTTACCACTCCGGGGTTTCCCTTCTCCATATCCTGGTTGTTGCGTCACTTCCTCCAAGTCTTCTTTATGAGCTCCAATTCGAGGAGAGAGCACTACACTCTGGGAAGTGACCACAGGATCACCTATCCTGGAAACCTACGGCACAGTGACTACCTACCGTCTTCTACAATACTCAGCCTTACTCGTCAGCCATCTCAGCTCCTCACTTAAGTATTTGTAATCTTGTATTGCCTCTCCCACCTCCACCTTGCTTCACGATTGTTTTATGTTGTATTAATATGTATATACTGTTAATGTTTAAGTTAAGTTTGGTTAAGGGTAATTTATAGGAAGCTGATTATTTTGTTAAGGAATTCATGGTACTTCATTATACACAACGAAAGCTCTCATCCTTTGTCTACCCTTTTATAGTCCGATTGTCTTTGTTTTTTTTGGTGTTGTTACCTGTTGGGATCTGGGTAGACGTATAACTATATTCTAAATCCCCAACTCGTAACAATAGGTTGTAGGATTGTAAAGTGAGGAAGTTTGGTAGAGTGGCCGAATAGGTATTTAATCGTTAATATATGTTCTAAGGGAGAAAGCCTCGAAACACCAATTCTAAGTACAGCTATTTATCAGTTAACTCAATGGCATGGACACATTAATAGATCAATATATTTACGTTACTAGACAATGACTCTCGAACATGAAATGGATACACTTCCCACCGTAAACACATGAAATGGATACACTTCCCACCGTAAACACATGAAATGGATACACTTCCCACCGTAAACACATGAAATGGATACACTTCCCACCGTAAGTCCATGAAATGGGATCACTCTGACCTGAGGGAGGCCCAGTGGCTGGGGGATGTTTGCGGCAACTGCTAATAAGAGTGTTATTCTAAAATGGATTAGTGCGTTGTTACAGGACTGGAAACAGCGAGTGAGCAATAACGGCACTAAATCCGATTGGAGTAACGTCAACAGTGGAGTACCCCAAGGCTCAGTACTTGAACCATTATTATTTATAATATACATAAGCAATATAAATATCGGCGTAGACAGCTACATAAGTAAATTTGCCGAGGACACTAATATAGAGTGTATAATTTAATTTGACGAGGACTCGGCAAAACTACAGGAAGATCTAAGCAAATTTTTCCAATGGTCTGAAAAATGGCAGATGACATTTAATGTGGACAAACGCAAAGTACTTAGTTCAGGCATGGGTGGCCAAAACGCTGCTCGCGAGCCGCCTGTGGATCTTTGACACTTAATGTGGCTCGTGAAAATATTTAGGGTGAAGTCCTTTTGCTTCATGACCAATATAAAATGTACAGGTAATTAAACAAAAATGTTCGAGCTTAGTGTATATAAAGTGAGAGGCCACTGGATTAAAACATAAGTTAAATATTCAAGGTTAGTATAAATATTTAAGAATTTAAATCATAATTTTAATGCTAGAATTTAGTCAGGTGTCGTTTATCATTGCTGAGTCAGGTCGGGGATTACGGAGGAAAGTCGGAGGGAGGTGGCAGGGCAGGGGGCCCAGCCTCACGTCGTGACCTGACACATAAGAACATAAGAAAATAAGGAGTCTGCAATAGGCCGGTTGGCCTGTTCATGGCAGCTCCTGTCGAGAGTTACTACCATGAATCTATCTAGCCTCCTTTTAAAACTTTCCAGCGTTCCAGCACTTACTACAAAGTTGCTAAGCTTGTTCCACTCGTCCACCATCCTATTTGTGAAGCAGTTCTTTCCTATCTCCCTCCTAAACCTAAACTTATCCAACTTAAATCCGTTGCTACGAGTCCTATCTTGCTCAGTTATTGTAAGAACTTTGTCTATATATCCTTTATTGATTCCTTTTACCCACTTAAATACTTCTATCATATCTCCCCGCACTCTTCGTCTTTCTACGGAATACAAGTTTAGTTTCTTTCACCTATATTGATATGGAATGTTTCTAAGTCCCTGAATAATTTTCATCATTGTTCGCTGCACCGACTCCAGTGAATTGATATCCATTCTATAATAAGGGCACCACAAATGAACTGCATAATCGAGGTGCGGCCTGACTAACGCAAGATATAGGTGCAATAAGACCTCTGCATTCTTATTACTTACACTTCTAGATATAAAACCTAATACTCTGTTTACCTTATTTCGAACATTAACGCACTGTTTTCTAGGCCGTAGGTCCGGGCTTACAAGTACCCCTAAGCGTCTTTCACAAGTCGACTTCTCTAGGTTGATGTTGTTAAGTCTGTATACATTGACAGTATTTGTTCTTCCAATATTAAGTACGCTGCACTTGCTGGTGTTGAATTTCATTTGTCATTTTTCGGACCACAACTGCAGTTTATTTAAATCCTCCTGTAGAGCATTTGCATCCTGCCCTGAATTAATCTGCCTCCCTATTTTGGTGTCATCCGCAAACTTGCTTATGTCACTGCTGATCCCAGTATCTAGATCGTTTATGTGGATTATGAACAAGGGTGGGCCCAGTACTGACTCCTGGGGAACCCCACTGGTTACAAAGCCACACTCAGATTTAACACCATCTATGCTGACCTTCTGTGTTCTATCGGTGAGCCATGATTTTATCCAATTTAAGACTTTCCCCTCGATACCATGAGCCTTAACTTTTCTCAGAAGCCTCTGATGCGGTACGCTATCAAATGCTTCGCTAAAGTCTAAGTAAAAAACATTGTAACTTTCGTCATTATCTACTACCCCGAAGACTTTCCTGAAAAACGTCAGCAGGTTTGTTAGACAAGATTTTCCCTTTGTAAACCCATGTTGAGAGTCGTAGATTAATTTGTTTTTCTGTAA